TGAGCAGTTCTTTAGTAAATACTTGGTATTCTACTTGGTACAGATTCCATGGCTCATGTGTGACAGCTGTTCAAGTCAATCCATCAAACCTCATCAGACAGGTAAAGTATGAAACAATAAAAATCTGTGAATTAGGGTAAAAGGGGGATATAAATATGTTAATTCTGAATTGTAAGAAACCTTATAATTATATTTCTCATAACTTACTTCACTTAGAAGTAGGTTAGCTTAAAAACATATTTTCCTCACTCCACTGGTACTAGATGCAGACTGAGGACATCAACAGCTAAAAGAACTGTTCTCAACTCAGGATATAAACAGCAAAGTCTTCTGTTTTATAAACTTCGTTTAGAAGAAAACTGAAAAAAAACAACAATCCTTGCTTTGTTACTTTGCCACAATGCTTATACATAGTAGATAAGTTTGTGATTAATATCACTACAAATCTGTAACAAATAATCATTACAAACCTATGCTCACTGTCAGGCAGTTACATTCTAGGTAGGAAGATAATAAAGAAGATATATCAATTATCCACTTCTGAGTATTTATCTGGAGAACACAAAAATACTAATTTTAAAAGATAAAGGCATCCCCATGTTCAATGCAGCATTATTTACAATGGCCATGCCACGGAATCAAACTAAGTGTCCACCGATGGATGAATGGATAAAGAAGATGTGGTACACACACACACATATATATAAAATGGAACATAACTCGGTCATAACAGAAGGTAAAATCTTGCCACTTGTGATAACCTTGGACCTTGAGGGTATTATGCTAAGTGAAGTAATTCAGATGGAGAAAGACAAATACCAAATGATTTCATTCACATGTGGAATCTAAAAAAAAAAAAACAAATAAACAAAATAAAGCAAAACCAAACTCAGAGAGAACATACTAGAGGTTACCAGAGGGGAAGGGGGTTGAAGGGTAGGAGAAATGGGTAAAGGGGGTTAATTATATATGGTGACGGATGGTAACTAGATTTGTAATAGTGATCACTTTGTAGTGTATATAAGATGGTGAATTATAATGCTGAACACCTGAAATTCATATAACTTTTTAGGAAAGAAAAGAAATAAATTATATAGAATGTGAAATTAAAAGACACTTGCTCCTTAGAAGAAAAGCTATGACCAACCTAAACAGTATATTAAAAAGCAGAGACATTACTTTGCCAACAAAGGTCCAGCAGTCAAAGCTGTTTTTCCAGTAGTTACGTATGGATGTGAGAGTCTGACTATAAAGAAAGCTGAGCATCCAAGAACTGATGCTTCTGAACTGTGGTGTTGGAGAAGACTCTTGAGAGTGCCTTGCTGCAAGGAGACTCCCTTGGACTGCAAGGAGATCCAACCAGTCAGTCCTAAAGAAAATAAGTCCTGAATATTCTTTGGAAGGACTGATGCTGAAACTCCAATACACTGGCACCTGATAAGAACTGACTCACCGGAAAAGACCCTGATGCTGGGAAAGACTGAAGGCAGGAGGAGAAGGGGACAACAGAGGATGAGATGGTTGGATGGCATCACTGACTTCAATGGACATGAGGTTGAGTAAGCTCTGGGAGTTGGTGATGGAGAGGGAAGCCTGGTGTGCTGCAGTCCATGGGGTCACAAAAAGTTGGACACGACTGAGTGACTGAACTGAACTGAAATGATAAAGAATGTGAAATCATGACAAATGAAGGAGAAAAAAAGAGAGCAAAAGAGGGATTTCGGAGATGTGTATGTGTAAGTGTGTGTGTATGACAGGATAGAAGGTATTTAAAATTTTAGGCTGGCCAGGGAAGGCACCCATTATCCAAAGTACATACAGAGAAGAGCGAGAAATTTATGTCACTGCTTATTATAAGCACAAGATATTGCTGCCAAATTGGTTGTTATTCTGGGTGTGAGTAAAAAAAAAATTGTTTAGCTAAAAAAATGAAACTTCTAAAATAGATGGCAAATTCTTGAACACCATTGAGTCTATTAATTTTGGGGGAAAAAAAACCCCAGAAATTAGAAAAACAACAGTCTTGTATCATACAGGTTATGCTGTTCACATTGCTCTAGCTGGTTTTCCACAGAAATCTGAAGAACGGTCCACATTGTTCATCAGAGTAACAGATGAATAAATATGCTAATGTACTCTCTAAGGCCCAAGCCACTCCCTAGCAAAGCTTCTGGTGTTTAAAGGATTGCATTTCTTCTTGCCGGATGACCTGGCAAGAAGTGTATTTAGATGTAATGATTCCTTGTTATTCAAAAAGGTCGATTCACTGAATGCCTCACTTATCGTCCTAGCAGCAATTAGAATGTGGGAAATAACTGATCTCAATGTCATTTCTGGGCATATTTCCCGCCATGATTTGTTAAATAAAGTAAACAATGCAGTGTACAACATACAGATTGTAAGAATGCGTGAACTGCCCATTATCTTCAGGAGAGTTTATGACCAGCCTTTCCACAGCTCAGTTTTAGAGAAAGAAGAGGCACTATAGTAAGCTATGGCTTATCACTGCTGGAAATGTGACCACAGCAGTAAAGCCAAGTGACAGAAGCCCATATGCTGGGGTGGCCTGGGTTCAAGCCCTAAATCATCTACTTACTGTGGGACTTGAGGCAAGTTTTTAATTGCTTTGTATGCCTCAATTTCCTCATCTGTAAAATGAAGATAGTAAACTACAAACATTACAGGGTTGATATAAAGAAAATGTAGGTGCAACTGAAGTCCTCAAAGAAAAGTATTTGATGAAATAAGAGCTGAAATGTTTCCAAATTTGATGAAAACTATAAACCCACAGACCCCAAAACTCAAAGAATCCCAAGATAAGAAACAGAAGAATGCTATATTGAGGTACATAATAAAACCATAACCAAACAGCCCTGCTAAAAACTACATTAGTGGTTCTCAACCAGGGATTACTCCTCCCCATTCCTACTCCTCTGGGGACATTTGACAAAGACATTTTTGTTTGCCACAACTGGGTGGGGGAGAGTGTGCATGACTGGCATCTAATGCGCAGAGGCCAGGAACGCTGCGAAACATCCTATAATAGAAAGGACAGCCCTCACAAAACTCAGTTACCCTGCCTAAACACCAAGAGTGCTAAGGCTCAAGCTAATACTGGGCTTCCCTGGTGGCTCAGATGGTAAAAAATCTGCCCGCAATGAGGGAGAGAAATACTAAAAACATATGATAATCAAAATGGCTAAAACTAGCAAAAAGAGAGAATCTTAAAAACCATATCCTTATCATATTTTCTCATCCTGACAAATACAGAAAGTATATGAGATTGTAATATTAGGCATTTTTCGTAACTCACTCATCAAGGTTAAGCCAGGAACTGAGTACCAAGAAGTAAAGGTGCCCAGACCTGTAGAGCTACTTGGAGGGGTTCCCAGTACTCATAAGTCAGTGTGACTTTTTTAAAAAAAATCAGAATTTAGGGAGCTACACAATGTGCAGTTTCTATCTTCAGCAGAAACTGAAGATTCTGCTCTGTGGTCTTCCTGACACTTAATCATAGGTAAGAAGTGGTGGGGCCAGGATTTGAACTGAAGTCTGTTTTGAAAATGCATCAAAATAATTTTAATAATACAAAATATAAGACCATAAATGTGCTTTCAGTTTATTATTTGGGGTCTTCATAACAAGTTAATACGTATCTATGCTGCTAGAGCACTGGCCCACTACAAATTTATTCAATTACTTTGGTACTCAGGGACAGCTGTGGTAAAGCATATCAGTCTATATTTCTTCATTTTTTTCTGTTAATTGGAGGAGAGAAAAGTAACAGTGGTCACAGCTATGGCAGGAACTGTGTATATCATTTACTGAGAATTGTTTATAGTTTTAAAAACATTTTTATGGAGTACAGCTGATATATAATGTTGTGTTAGTTTCTGCTATCCAGCAAAGTAGATCAGTTGTACATATATTCACTCTTTTCTAGATATTTTCCCCATATAGGTCATTATGGAGTATTGAGAAGAGTTCCCTATGCTATACAGTAGGTCCTTATTAATTATCTATTTTATATACAATTGGAGGAGGAAATAGCAAACCACCCCAGTATCCTTGCCTGGAGAATTCCATGGATACAGGAGCCTGGGGGGCTATAGTCCATGGGGTCGCAAAGAGTCAGACACAACGGAGCAACTAACACACTTATATACAGTAGTATATACGTCAATCCCAATCTCCCAAATTCTCCTTCCTCATCCCTTCCCTGCTGGAAACCATAAGTTTGGAAAACTGCTACAGTTTTATCTTTATAGATGCCTACTCTGGAGAACGGTAGGAAGAGGTGCTTATTTTTATTTGGTTCTGTCCTCCATGGAGAAAAAATTGAGAATCACTTCTTTCAAGTATCAGATCTCTTTGGATCAAGTTAGGTAGATTTCAATGGAATGCACACAGAGAGCTAGAGACATACACCTTTTTTTCTGAATGGTTAAAAAAAAGTCACACTAAAAGAAAATAATGATAAGAACACTCACAGTAGCATACTAATCAACAAAACTGTTTAGCCTAGAATAATCAGAAATTCATCAGTGCTCTAAAGGAGTAAATGATGAGTTGTGTGTCTTAAGAAGTAATCTTCCAAGGTTCAAAAATGAATATTCAACACAATTAGAACAACCAAGCCAATCATCTTTAGTAGAGGAAATACTAGATTAATATGTGTTTTACTGAGGAAGTATAAACATTAATGAGGGCTAAAGGAGTAGGCAATGTATAAATTATCTTGAGCTTCAAACAGTTAAAAGCAGATGTAACTTCACAGTTGCTTTTTTGTTTTCTTCTAACTTTACCTGGATACTTTATTTTCCTTCCTCTTTTTCAGGTGGTTCTATATACAAGTTATAGAGTATCCCAAACAAACGAAATTTGAAGTAACTTATCATTCATTAACTTTGCAAACATGTTTTGTTTCCTCCTCCAATCAACTTAATTCTTTTTTATGGTCCTGTATGCTACCTGTAAGTGAATACAAAGTTCATACTTACTCGAAAGAACAGTCGTAAGGAAAATGTAGTCTGAAAAGGATATGAGTCCACATTCTCCAAGGGTGTAAAATATACTGCCTTCATCAGCAAATTTTTCTCGTTCCTGGGCAATTTTCTATTGAATGTATGGGTCCAACCAAAAGATAAAAAGAAGATATAACAGAATGAGAATATAAATAGTTAGAGATGAATGACCATTTATCTGACAGTTTTATGCTATTTATTTTAAGCATTTCTCTGATGGCCATTCCAATTTAATGGATCCTTTACAGTTTTTAAGATGATTAAAATTATAAGCAAAAGATGATTTTTTTATTTGCTCCAACACTGGCTTAATGTGAGCAATAAAAGTTTTTCAGTTTTATGAACTCCTGCCATTTAACATATAACAGGCCCACTTCAGGTCTGAATTTGTTTCTGAGTCTGAAATACAATCAACCTTTTTCTACAGAGGTATATAAGGTATAGAGAGAAAAAAACAAATCAGTTATAAATACCCAAGAAAAACAACTAGTGATCAGAACTAGTGATTAGAAATGAAGAAGTTAGCAACTATTGTCAACACCCACCCAAATGCTCAGAAAATTAATTTCTGAAATATTAATTTTAACTTTTACCTTATGAACCCCAAGAATCTTAGTTTTTGAAATGTAGAACAATTTACAGAGTAAACAGCATCTCTGAAATATAATGTCAAATCAGACATACACATCAAGCTTTAGGCATGATAATTATATTTACTGTTACTTTGGTGGAGGCTCCTAAATTTTAGCTATTTGAAGAAATGATGCTATAACTTAGTTTTAACTCTAAGTATGTATTTATTTTCTTTAATCTATAAGCTCACAAAGAGAGTTAATTCTCAGGTTCAGAAATGGTCTATCTGGGAAGCAGTCTATTCCTGGGTGTTTAAAGGAAACCTACCTTTTTTTTTTTTTTTTTTTTTTCTGATTCCCTACCAGAACAGAAACTTAAGAGGTGACATTGATGATACTTTCAAAAACTGAAAAGGATCCATGAAAGAGTTAGACTTGAAACTCATTTTTGTAAGTTTGACTCATTTTGGACCAACCAAAGAAATTTCAGGAATTATTCTAGGTACCAAAAAGAGAGAGAGAGGAGGTTTTAAAAACCCAAACCAACAAAGCGCAGTCAAAGTAATAATATCATGCAAGCACAAAATAAGCAGCAGCACTGCAAGCATAACCTTGGGAGGAGTATCATGAAAACTAAACCAACAAGCACCACCACACCATCATCCAGGTACACAGCCATCCAATAGGTTACCTCTGTCTAGTGAAGATCCCATCATACACACAAAGGAAAGAAAACTGGTTAACCAATTGAAGACATGAGCACCAAATGAATCATCATGATCTTCTTAATAAACCCACTCAAAATAGCCTTTACTGGATATTTGCTTATAATATGAAACAGCAATGATGGACAGGCAAAAATCCACAGTTGAATGCCAACAAAGTAGTAAGAGGTTTTGATGGCAGTTTCTACTTAGGAAAGGGCTTCTCTGACTCATTTGTGATGGGCAGAAAGCCTGGTATGGCCTAACAGCATTTAGAGACTACTTGCTGGAGCCAAAACCAAAAATGAGCCCACAGTCTAATATGTTCAATTAAGGTTAGACCTCATATCACACTTGATCTTCTACCAACAGATTAACCACAAATTTTAGACAAAAAAAGGTTAATGGATGAAAACAGAAGCAAAGTTGTTCACTGGGAAGTTAATATTTTAATTTCTCAAAAGAAAACTGTACATTTTTTAACATTACCCAAGATACTGCAAAGGAAAAGCATGTGAACAAGAAAAAAATACACAAAACGAGAACAGGCTGTCGAAGGCATACAATCTTACTTGCTAGAATAAATTTGAATAGAAGCTGAGTAACCCATATTAATTATGTAATAATCTTATAGAGAGACTGCTATAATAAAAGAAAATAAATAGTATACTGGGATCCAGAAGTTGAGAAACAGACAAAAATCTAAGGACAAACTGAAAGGAGGAAACCAGGCCAAAAAAGCATATCCAACACCATTATTTTTTTTTCCAACATTATTTTTCTAAGAATCATCTGGACCATGCTGCTGCTCAGAAGATAAAAAGACAAATCTTAAGTTTGTAACATTTAATTTTGATATAATTTCAAACTCAGAAAAGTGGAAAGAACTGTATAAGGAACTCCCATATGCTTTTCACTCAGATTAGCCAACAATTTACATATCTCCTTATTTGCTTTATCATTTTACATACCTTCTTTTACATTATATCAAAACTTGGAGACATGCCCCTTTAGACTTTAATACTTCATTAAATATTTCCTATGAACAAAGACATTCTCTCACATACTACAGTAAAAATTTCATAAAACCAGGATGCTTAACACTGATACATACTATTACTTGTAATCCACAGTCTATTATCAAATTTAGCGAACTATCTCAATAATTTACTTTTTAGCTATTAATATTTTCCCTCTATGGACCTAACAGAAGCAGAAGATATTAAGAAGAGGTAGAAAGAATATACAGAACTATACAAAAAAGATCTTCACGACCCAGATAATCACAATGGTGTGATCACTCACCTACAGCCAGACATCCTGGAATGGGAAGTCAAGTGGACCTTAGGAAGCATCATTACGAACAAAGCTAGTGGAGGTGACGGAATTCCAGTTGAGCTATTTCAAATCCTGACAGATGATGCTGTGAAAGTGCTGTCCTCAGTATGCCAGCAAATTTGGAAAACTCAGCAGTGGCCACAGGACTGGAAAAGGTCAGTTTTCATTCCAATCCCAAAGAAAGGCAATGAGCCTCTTGATGAAAGTGAAAGAGGAGAGTGAAAAAGTTGGCTTAAAGCTCAACATTCAGAAAACTAAGATCACGGCATCCAGTTCCATCACTTCATGGCAAATAGATGGGGAAAGAGTGAAAACACTGGCTGACTTTATTTTGGGGGGCTCCAAAATCACTGTAGATGGTGGCTGCAGCCATGAAATTAAAAGATACTTACTCCTTGGAAGAAAAGTTATGACCAACCCAGACAGCATGTTAAAAAGCAGAGACATTACTTTGCCAACAAAGGTCTGTCTACTCAAAGCTGCGGTTTTTCCAGTGGTCATGTATGGATGTGAGAGTTAGACTATAAAGAAAGCTGAGTGCTGAAGAATTGATGCTTTTGAACTGTGGTTTTGGAGAAGACACTTGAAGAGTCCCCTGAACTTCAAGGAGATCCAACCAGTCATCCAGAAGGAAATCAGTCCTGAATATTCATTGGAAGGACTGACGTTGAAGCTGAAACTTCAATACTTTGGCCACCTGATGTGAAGAACAGACTCATTTGAAAAGACACTGATGCTGGGAAAGATTGAAGGTGGGAGAAGGGGATGACAGAGGATGAGATGGTTGGATGGCATCACCGACTCAATGGACATGAGTTTGAGTAAACTCCAGGAGTTGGTAATGGACAGGCAGGCCTGGCGTGCTACAGTCCATGGGGTTGCAGAGTCAGACACGACTGAACTGAATTGAACTTTCCCTCTAGTCCAGGATGTAGTCCACAGACATAAATGGCCTTTATTTGTCATGTCTTTTTAATCTCCATTAATCCAAAACAGCTTTCTTTGCCCATCTTCATTTTTTCCTTTGGAGGTTTATTATGAGTTTCCATTGTGGTAAAATTCACATGACATAAAATTCACCATTCTAACCATTTAACCACGAAATGTGTGGGCCTTCTGAATTTGGTTTCTTTCTCAGATCATGGTTTGTGGGTCCATCTGTGCTGTAGCAGCAATCAGTATTTCATTCCTTTTTATTGCCAAATAATATTCCATTATATATATACCATAAATTGTTTATCCATTCATGAATTAAAGGATATTTGAGTTGTTTCCACCTTTTGGCTGTTGTGAATAGTGCGACTATGTACATTCATGTACAAGTATTTGTTTGATTATCTGCTTTCAATTCTTTTGGGTATATATCTGGGAATGGAACTGCTGAGTCATATCACACATCTATATTTAAGTTTTGCAGAATGGCCAAACTGTTTTCCACAGTAGCTATATACCATTTTGCATTACTCCCAGCAATGTAAAATGGCTCCAATTTCCCCACATCCTGAGGTTTTTTATTTTTTAAATTATATCCATGTTAGTGAGTGCAAACTTGTATCTTATTGTGGTTTGATTTACATTTCCCAAGTGTCTAATGATGTTGCGCATCTTTTCACGTGTCTGTTGGCCATTTGTATTATCTTCTTTGGAGAAATATCTATTCAAATCCTTTGCCCGTTTTTTTGAATTGGGTCGTTTGTTTTCTGTTCTTCAGTTGTAAGTTTCTCTATATATTCTATATACTAAACACGTATCTGATATAGGGTTTGCAAATAAATTCTTTCATGCTGTTCCTTGCCTTTCACTCTCCTGATTATGTTCTTTGGTGCATAGAAATTTTAAATATTGATGAAGCTCAACTTGTCTATTTTTTTCTCTTATTGCTTGTGCTTTTAATGTCATATCTAAGAGTCCATCACAAAATCCAAGATCATGAAAATTTACCCGTTTCTCTAACAGTTTTGTAGTTTTAGCTTTTATATTTAGGTCACTGATCTATTTTGAGTTAACTTTGTATTAATGAGAGGTAGGGACCAAATTCATTCTTTCGCATGTGATATCCAGTTGAGCCCATACCATTTATTGAAATGATTATTCTTTCACCATCGGGTACTCTTGTTGAAGACAAACTGACCACATATATGTGAGTTTATTTCTGTACTCCCCATTTCACTCCACTGATCTATGTGTCTATTTTTATACCAGTACCATGCTGTTTATTTTTTTTCATAATTTTTTAAACCCATGGTAAGATGTACTGATCATAAAATTTACCATGTTAACCATTTAAAAATGTACAATTTGGTGGTATTAAGTACAATAAAAACATTATATAACCACCACCACTACCTGGTTCCAGAATGTTCTTATCACCCCATTTGGAAACCCCTTATCCATTTAGTCACATTCCACTGCTCCTCCCTCTAGCCCCTGGAAACCACTAATGTACTTTCTGTCTTTATGGATTCATTTTTCTGAAT